CCCCGATAGCACAAAACTTAAGGCAGAGGGTGTGGCTTCCTGTGAGCTGCACTAGAGCAGACCCAGGGCAGAGGTGAAGGAGGCAGGACTTCTTGTGCGACAGTACTGGGCTGGGCCTAAGCGACGAGAATGTGTTTTCTTAGAGTTTTGGATGCCAGTAAGCTTGTCAGGATTGTTTTCTTCTGAGGCTTCTCTCTCTGGGTGAGTCTCTTGTTCCTGTGTCCCCACATGGTCTACTCCTACATAGATGTTCATAGTTTGTGATGACATGCTCCTGTGTAAATATCATTGTCAAAAAAATATACTAGGTAGTGACATGTGTAGTCCTAGCTACCTGAGAGGCTGAGACAGGGGCCCCTTAAAGCCAGAGGGTTTATATGATGTGACTCCATCACACACAAAAACCAGAAATGCATTTATTATGCCAGTGTGGTGAAAGTCGTAGATCGGCCTGTGTGACTTAAATAGACTCAAAACACATTGACATACAGGAGCGTGGAGTCCTCTACCACAGATCCTTGTTGGTTACAAAGTCCGTAGTACTTAGTGGGACTTGGAGAGAGCTGTGGTTGTGTGTGAAAAGTAAAAGGCAGAGGCCCTAAGTCAAGCCGTCTCAGACCGAGATTTGTTGGTCCACATACATACCTGACCTCCTGTTTGTGGATGCCACTGATTAGCTAGGCTCAGGTCCTGCCATCGTGGCGTTTATCCTGGGGTGCTGAGGGTCAGAACTGCAACATGGAAATTCGAGAGAACATGATTCAGAACATGACATGTTCCTTCTACTTTCCTCCTAGTTTTCAATGAGTATCAGAGGATGACGGGCCGAGACATTGAGAAGAGCATCTGCCGGGAGATGTCTGGGGACCTGGAGCAGGGAATGCTGGCTGTGGGTAGGTGTCTGGAGCTTCGTTTGCCTGCCTGCCCGCCCACTGGGTGCTCAGTGTCCTGTGGTCGAAGGTGGTGGTGTAGTGAGAGAACCACAGAATCTGAGCTCGCTAATCCGAACCATCTGTCTGGTGGGAATCCATGAGTCCCCGGCCTCTGGGACAGAGGAGTCTGTGTTTGCAGCGCTGCTCTGCAGAACGGAGCTACAGTGTGGGCATTAGTGGGGGCCTGTCCAACTGCTCTCCTGGAGGAAGGTGACTCATATCCTGCCAAGTTTCCTCCAAAAATACGTCCGTGCAGGCAATTGTCAGCTGTCTGTGATATAAACACATGGAAAGATTTTTTTTTTTTTTTTTTTTTTACTTGCAACAGCAAAACAGGGCCCGTTCTAGGGAATGCTGGCCGAGCTTCCAGCATGGGGAGTGCCTCTCACAGCGCTGTGCCCTCTACAGCAGATCTTGGAGGCTCTGGGAACCTCCCCCTAATGTGGAGTTGGGTTCTTGCCCATCAGCCCTCGCCACCTCTCTTTATACTCGCCAGGAGACATCAGTTTGCCCATTTCTTTTAGTATGTTTTTCTTGGCTCTTTCTGACTAGAACAGGCAATAGATCCTCATTTCCCTGCATGGTCTGAGAAAAACACCACATCCCCTTAGCCTTCCTTTTTTTCCATGAGGGTCTTTTTGTTTGACCCCCTCATGCCTAGGCACCCATGAAGTTGATGCCTCTTTTCATCATTAAGCCCCCACTCTGCCCAGTCCCGGTGGTTTTTGCCCAGTGATGCCAAGAAAGGGGTTAGGTTGATGGTCCTAGTCTGTGTGGAGCCGTATTCACGGGATCAGAGCCAGCAGGAAAGAGAAGTGCCCTCCTTGGTCCTGCAGACCTCATACTGTGTTCCTTTTGTAGTGAAATGCCTGAAGAACACCCCTGCCTTCTTTGCTGAAAGACTCAACAAGGCTATGCGGGTATGTAGTGCTTGGGTCTAAGGGGTTCACAGGGGCTGGGTGTAGAAGATTCGTGGGAGGGACTGGGGCCTCGGAAAGTGGGAGGGTGGGAAGCCCCATTACATACTCTTATCTCTGTGACTCTTCAGGGAGCAGGAACAAAAGACCGGACTCTGATTCGCATCATGGTGTCTCGAAGCGAGATTGACCTCCTGGATATCCGAGCCGAGTATAAGCGGATGTATGGCAAGTCACTGTACCACGATATCACGGTACGGGCTAGGGGGCCAACAAGGCCCTCCCTGTCTCCTTCCCCTCTCCCTATGTTTGGCCTACTGGGCTTCTTCATCCAGTCACCTCCAAACAGATCACAAGATCCTGAGGAAAGGGCAGGTCACAACCCTGTGACCCCATGTTTCCACCCTCTAGGACCCCAGTTCTTAATAACTGGACAGGCTTGTCTGCCAATGGCATAGAGAAATTTCAGGCCTTACTTCTTCCTGTCCCTAACCTTCAGAATCCCTACCACTCTGTGAAGGTTTGGTCCACCAAGGAGAGCTCATATCTGTGAAGCTCAGCTCTTGTTTGCTGCATGTAGCTTTTTCCCCATTCACTTTACAGTGGAGACCACATAGGTAGCTCAGCCCTTGGGTCAGCCTAGGGGTCTGATCCTGGCTGTTCTTACTTGGTTAACCTCATGAACCTGAACATTGTCTGCACACCACCCAAGCGATGAACCAGCATCTTTAAGGATAATAGTTCCTCCACAGGTGGTGATGGCAGTCTCCACAAATGCTGGAGGAAACACTGTGTGCCTGATTTCAGACTTGGCATTTGATATCGTTGGGCTTGCTGATCTCCATCCCTGTGCTGTGGGATTGAGGCTGTGGGTAGGGGAGAACTTGTCATTACTGTCAGATTGTGGCCAGGGTACTAGTAGGCTCTGACAGCTAAAGAAGCCACAAACCTTGCCTTCAGAGAGCTTAGGGTGGCAGAAAATGGTCTGAAATTAGCTAAGCCTGAGCAACAACACTGGTGGAGAAGGCACAGTGGTATTGGGCAGAGATTGGGTGTGACAATAGTGGTGTCACCATGGGTGTTCACAAAGATGATGTCCCCAAGGACACAGCATTGCTTTACAGTAGAGCCCCAATGTGGCTGCTCTAGGGAAAGAGCGTGCTGAGAGCCTGGGTGTTGGTCCTTAGGCCGATTAAAATGCTCTGGGTGTTTATTTGACTTGAGTAATAGGTGAGTGATACTGTGGATATGCATGTGTGCGCACACACACATACATGTGGAGGCGGAGTCAGCACTGAGCATCATTTCTCGGGAGCTACATAAATGCTGGGGGTTTGTTTGTTTGTTTTGAGGGTCTCACTGGGACCTGAGGGATCTGCCTGTCTGCACCTACCCAGTGCAGGGATTAGAAACATATGCCATCATGCCTGGCGTTTGGCTTTCATTTTACATAGAATGTGGGGATCACTGGATATAACTTGTTCGAGCAAGTGAGGACAGGCCTGCCTCTCCACGAGGACACTTGGGCCTTCTGGTGGCTTTGCCTCCCTTAACTTTCACTCTTGTTTCTGCCACCAGGGAGACACTTCTGGGGACTATAGGAAGATTCTGCTGAAGATCTGCGGTGGCAACGACTGAGCAGTGACAGTGGCTCTCCTCTGCCTCCTGCTGGCATTGGCAGGGAAAGACCCACAGAGTGTCCTTCAGTTTTTCATATTCTATCCAGTATCCCCCAGACACACCATTTCTTCCCTAGAATCCCAGCCCTTTCCTGCTGGTCCCTCCTCATCCACATACTGTGCCGAAAGGGCCCAGCTGGGCCAGAGTTCTCAGGCAGCCATCTCCCTGGCCCTCACAGCTTTTTGCTGTTCAGAATAGATGTTTTTGCTCTCCTGGCTCCTGCAGTCATTCCTCATCGCTGTGGCTTTGTTGTAGACATGTGATTTTTTATTTTTATTGGTAAGCTTTTTTTAAACCATCTTTGCCAGGCAGATGCATACGAGTGTGTTTACTATATACATGTTTCTGAGGCGTGGTCAGCGGGTGGACATCCCGTCCTTGCTGGAGAAAGGGAGGTCTTGTCAAGGTACTACTGTGTTTGGTAAGAATGTGTCATGAGTTTTGTTTTTTGCCAAATTCACTCTTTGTTTTTTTTTTTTTTTTTTTAGAAAAAGGCCAAGAAATCATTTGTTCCATCTTCCATGCAAAACCGTGCACAATAAAGCCAGTCCCCTGCGAGTGACTGGGACCCTTGTAGTTTGTACTGTGCCTTAAACCTGAACGTCTGTAGCCAAAAGCTGTTTCCAAATTAAAGTCAGCTAGCTCTGGAACATTCTGGAAATAACTCTTCTGGTGCCAGCTTGTTTTCTTCCGCTTTATGACTCAGAGATTCCGGCCCTGTTAGCTAGTGCAAATGGATGTGTTGAACTAGAAACATACACTGTGGAAATCCCAAGCATAAGCTACTGGCAGGGATTGTATTTGAAGGACTTGCAAAAGATGTTCTCTAGATCCACACAAGGCACAGATGCCCAAGCCAGATGGAGGTGGTAGAGTTAGTTCCCTGAGTGAGGTGGAAAGAATGGCTGGTCACCTAGGTCCTGAGGGTGGTCTCAGGGAGACTAGTGATGAGAACAGGAGCAACCCAGGGAGGTGCCCCAGCCTCGTGTTCCCTTGGAAACGCCAGTCAGAAGGGCACTTGGCTCCAACCCTGCAGGTTCTCTGCTCGTTGGTGTTCAGAGAAGGGAACTAGCAGAGATAATTTCTTGGATTCTTTGTCATATCCAGGAGCATAGAGTTTTCCGCTTGCTGACTGGAGGTCTCCCCTCACTTCCCTTATGTTAGAAAGCTTGGGATAATGACACTCTGGAAAGACAAGTGTCTCTGGACTCCTGGGCCCTGGCTAGAACCCCAGAGAAGCCTCAGCTGAGTGGCAGCTGCTGGGGCACCAATCCTCGCTTCTCCCCCACAGTGGGAGGAAGAATGGCAAAGTGTCTGAGCTAAGCACCAGGGTTGTGAATTGCATTAATCGCCCAAATGTGCACACACCCCAAAGACCCATGAACAGACGGGTGATACAATGGAGTATTATTTAGCCATGCGAAGGACTGACACATTCTGCAATGTCCAGTGAAAATCTGATTTTACTCGCAGAAGCTGCCCACAGGAGGCAAGTCCAGGAAGGTAAAAGGTTTCTAGTGTGCTGGGAGTGGGGAGAGGTGGAAGGGGAAGTGAGTTCTGGGGTGCTGAAAATGACCTGGAATTACTGGTGATGACTTTGTCACCCAGTGAGCACTAGGAAGCACAGAATTGGTGCCGGTGACAAGAGCAAGTTTTGCTGGGTGTACACCCGTGGTCCCAGCTTAGTTTGCATGGTGCATCCCCCTTTCCCACTGCAAAAGGTGAATTCTATGTAATGTGAACTTTGTTTACTGAAATAGATTTTTTCTTAAAAAAAAAAAAAAGGCTGGAAGTATGTTTGGATTCCCAGTCAGGGAACAGGATTCTTAATGGGCACACAACCTGTCACCACCAGGAGGGCAGAGTGGGGGATCACATGAAAACAGATTCTGATGTGGGGGATGGCTGGATGGGACCCAGATGATCGTGTATTTCTGGGTGGCACTACTGATGTTTTGTGGCCACAGTTTGAATAGCAATGCTACATAAAGGGCCTTCTGTGTCCTGTTACCATCCTGGGCCTCAGGTGTCTCACTTGGTGTGAATCAGTTTCTGCGGTCTGTCCCTATAAAGATGGCCAGGTTATCCAGGTCTGTGGGCCAGAACAACATGTGGGGTTCAGGGTGTAAGACAGAAGGAGTTGGGACTGTGGTTACAGAGGTCATTGTTAGCAGTCATGGGCCCCAATAGTAGCATTTATTTCACACAGGTGGGACAGAAAGGCAAGAAGCCTGACTTGGTTCTTCAGTTGCCAGGTTCCACTACCCCTGATGGTCAGAAGTGATCTGTAAGAAAAGGGGGTGCCCCGAGTGAGCAGCAGAGGATGCTGAAGGGGTATCCTTGCTGTGCCCAACAACTTCCTCCCTCCAGCTTCCCAGTCCCTTGGGATAACAGTACCAAAACACAGGACTCAAGAAAGAATCTGGGGGCTGCTCAGAGCATCAATAGGATGCCAGGGCCCAGGGTGACAATAGACAGAGGAGCACAGACCAGAATACTTGAAGACAGTGTGCTACCCATTCTGTCCCTGGGGGTGCATAGCATCCCCTGAGTTCTGGCTCCACCAGTGTGATGGAGCTGCCAGTGGCCCTAGAGGACAGACCCAGCAGGTGTCCCTCTGCCATCTGAGCCACTCACCACCTCCTAGCAGGTCCGGTTCTGGGCTGAAGGGCCCTGGGGGTAGATTCGAAGCCAGTTCCTCCAGCAGGCCCAGCAGGCCCGTCACTTCTGCCTCCAGGTGCTCCACTGTCTTCTCCACTGTCTGCAGTGGGAGGATGGGGCAAAATCAAGCACAGGGGTTTGGGCCACCTTTAGCTTAGCTTAGTGATATTCTAAAGAAATTCCACTGTGCCCCAGGTCCCAGCGTAATGCAGTGGAGAGGGAACTGGGTGCTGGGGAATCCTGGCCCTCACCCAGTCAGCACCATCACAGGCTGCCCCCTTCAGCCCCTGAAGGACCCCCTGCCCTGGCATGCAAAGGGAACACCTTTTTCTTTGTTTGGGACTTGGCAGCAATAGTGCACATTCCTTTTGTCACACTGCCCCCTCGTGGCACCTTCATTACAAGACAGGTTTGGGATTTTAAAGTTTTCCTAGAGATTGCTTAAAAGGATGTGTGTTGCTGCAGGTCCTGCTGACAACCTAATAAAAGTTCTTCCCCCTCCCCCCGGAGACAGTTTCTCTGTGTAGCCTTGGCTCTGTAGACCAGGCTGGCCTCGAACTCATAGAGATCCACCTGCCTCTGCCTCCCGAGTGCTGGATTGAAGTCCTGCACCACCACCGCCCGACCTCAGAACAGAATATCAAGTACATTACAATAGCATTCAAAGGTTAAAAACTACATGTTATTTTGGTGGTTGATGTTTGTAAGGTCAAAAGTCAGTAGACTGAGACAGGAGGATCACCACAAGTTCCAGGCCAGCTTGGGGTACAGAGTATGGTTTGTCTCTCTAATAATTGTTTTATCATTATGGGAGTAAGGGAGCAGAAAGGCCAAATGTCAGTCTTAGGAGCAGTGCAGTGTGTGTGTGTGTGTGTGTGTGTGTGTGTGTGTGTGTGTATGTGAGTAAGGGAGCAGAAAGGCCAAATGTCCGTCTTAGTGGTGGTGTGTGTGTGTGTGTGTGTGTGTGTGTGTGTGTGTGAGTAAGGGAGCAGAAAGGCCAAATGTCCGTCTTAGCGGTGCTGTGTGTGTGTGCGTGTGTGTGTGTGTGTGCGTGTGTGTGTGTGTGTGTGTGTGTGTGTAGAGGCTCACTCACTATGGGAGTGAGTAGAGGTCTGTTCTCTCTCCATTTTGAAAATTCTGGGGATTAGGCTAGGCAATAGTGACAGGAAGATCTCTGAGTTGGAAGCCAGCCTGGTCTAAAGAGCCAGTGCCAGTCCCAGGACAGTCAAAGCTACACAGAGAAACCCTGTCTCCAAAAACAAAAACAAAAAAAACAAAACAAAAAAAAAAAAAAAGAAGGGGGAAGAGAGAGAGGCCTGAGGCTCAGACTTGGGTCATCAGGCTTGACGACCAGCACCTGGTCAGCCACCGCACAGGCCTTACCTTGGCCTGGAGGCAGGAGCTCTTATGGCAATGATTAGATTAGGTTGACTGGCTAGCGAGCCCCAGAGACCCTCCTGTCTCTTCCTCTCCCTCCGGTGCTGGCATGCCACTATGTCTCACTTTTTTTGTGGGTCCTGGCGATGAAACCTGGGTCCTCACATGTTTACATGGCAGGTGCTGTACAGACTGAGTTATCCCCTCCAAAAAGCAAAATTTCAATATCTTAGGATATGTACTTATTAACTCACTAAGAAACAGTCTACCATCAGGCCCAGTGATTGCTGCCATCCTGACAAGACCAGGGTGTATAGGGACACACTGAAGCGGGGGGTGTGGGTCTGTGCCTGTAGTCCTAGCGCTCAAGGGCAGAGCCAGGACGACTGCCATGAGTTTCAGGCCAGACTGGTTTAATAGTGAGTTCTAAACCAGCCATGGCTACATGGTAAGACCCTGTGTCACCAAATAAAATTAATAATTTTTTTAAAAAGGCAGGCAATGTGATTCAGCAGGTCAAGGCACCTGCCACAAACTCTAACATGTAAGTTAAATCCCTGGAACACACATGACAAAAGGAAAGTAGTATGGGAAGTCCTGTGTATGTGTTGCTTTTATTAGTTAATGAATAAATCTGTTTAGGCCAGTGGCTTAGCAGAATAGAATAAGGGAGGAATTCCAAGCAGAGATAGAGGAGAAAGGAGGTGGAATCAGTGAGAAGCCATGTAGCTGCTGCAGGAGACAGATGCTTCTGCTGAAGCCTGCCAAAACTTTGCCTGTAGGCTGCAACCTCATGGTGACGCACAGATTAATGGAGATGGGGGTTAGTTTAGCATATAAGAGCTAGCTATAAATATGCTAAAACTATTGGCCAAACAGTATTGCAATTAATATAGTTTCTGTGTGTTTATTTCTGGTCTGAGTGGCTGGGAAATAAATGAGTATGCCTCCGACTGCAGGAAAGAATTTAAAATTTTCCAGGAATGAAGATAAAACTTTCTCCCACATAAATTTATGAACCCCAAGTTATGGTTCATGGCTATTCCACAAAATTTGATGGTGGCACTTACACCTTCTCCAACTTGGAAAAAATCTCAGGCTGGGTGTAAGCGATGCTTCCTGAGAGGTAGGATATATAACATATCGCTCAGCCAAACATCCTAGTTAGAGCAGCTGAGAAACAGGCACTGGCCTGTGTTTCCTGATGATCGTACTGCACAAAGGCTGGCAGATGGCCATGAAGTTCACAATCCCTTCCTCCCATGCCCTCATTACCTCTTCCATGATGTCTAAACGGCCTTGTATAGCCACATGTCTGTCACAGCCTGGGCTCCAGGCTAGATCTTCTCTGGAGGCACCAGGGGACTCAGCAGCTGTAGAGAAAACAAGCCTTGTCACTGTGGGGCCATTGGTTTCCTTGTGGCACTAGAGAGTCCTGTACAACACCAGGCTTGAGTGACGTCGGTGCTGAAGTCAGACACAAGGACACGCAGAGGGAGGACGAAGATGACCCACCACCCTAACTACTGTCTCCAGAACCAGGAGGGCGCCATCAAGTAGGCAGTGTTTAGGCTGGGTAAAGTCAAGACAGGGAAGGTTTGGCTGCTTGCAAAGACATGGAGAGATGTAAATCTTCCTTGGACAAACCATCCAGGGAACTGGAATGCCTGCAAAGAACCAGGTGGGTGGGCGATTCAACCAGCACAGGGTCTTGGGATCAAAACCAAAGGTAGCACATGGACCCAAGGCCTCCATGAGCCTCCGTGAATATTTGGAGGGAGTGCTTTGAATTTCAGATCTAGAGAATGTGGAGGGATGCAACTTTAGAGGAAGGCAGTGACTACAGGAGTCCATGTTTGAAGGAATAAGTCAATCAGTATCAGGTAGAATCCAGGGAGGAGACTGAGCGGCCTCGGCACTGGGAACCAGTCAGTCTGAGCTGCTGTACACCATGTGGCATGCTGAGGATGTCCTGACATGAGCCTCATTTTGTACTCCAGGAAACTAATGCACAGAGGGTGAGAGGTCATGCCCAAAGCCACACTGCTAGTGAGAGAGGACCAGATGTCTAACCTACTGTAAGGGCTGTTAATCCCACCTGGCTACCACTACCACAGTTTTTGAGACAAATTTGAAGTAAGCTTTATTAAATACTGGCCAGGATGATGGACACTGACCAGGTCCCTACCAGGTATTCCCTGAGTATGGTGCCAAATTATGTTAAGTGCTTATAAAGGCAGAGCCTACAATTCTGCCTTCATCAAGTTGGGGGCAAACATATATCCTGACACACTTCTGCCTATGTACCTCTGATGGGGAAGCTTTGTTAACCAATTATCTTCAAGAGGTGGAACCAAGTTAGGGTGTGGCTTTCTGGGACCCAGAGAAAAATGGGTGCACAGCCCAGGTGCTCTCTCTGGTTCCCTCGCGTCACAGCTGAGCTTGGACTTCTCGTTCCTGTTTCTTAAGTTTTCCCCCTTATAATAAATAAAAATATAATTGTTTATCTTTTAGTTAGCCTGGTTATTTCCCAAATCGAGCTAATTATTACAATTGGTGTCAAATGCTCTTTCTGATGATATCACCAGAAAAGCGGGTAAAACTCTGGGTAAACTATCCTGGAGTTTGGTACGTACTGATGAGGCAAAATTTTGTCTTTGTATGTACCTTTTGTCCCTGGTCATTAAATTCAATAATTTCCTCAATCTTTTCAAATCTTTTTACTGGCGCCTTTTGTAGAGTTTGGATCTCCTGTCCAGTGCTCTGTTTTAATGCCCTCAATGAGGATTCCAAGGTGTGAAGTCTGTCCAGTGAAGATAATGTCTCATCCTTGGACATAATTTTTATAGCATGCATATGACCTTCCTGGAGAGACATTCTGTCAGTCAATCTATCATAACCCTTCAACAGAGTTTGCTTAATACACTCAACAGTACAAATTCTCTTAGACAATGTCTCAGTACTCTCTGTCATTGACTGGGTTTTATTTGTCAAATTGGTTGTATCCTTCTCCAGAGTCCTGAATGTCCCTTTTAGTTGGACACTATCAGTCTGTAAAGACTGTATCATTTCTCTTTTTTAAAAAAAATTTATGTATTTATTATGTATACAGTGTTCTTTGACCAGGGACACAAGATACATACAAAGACAAAATTTAGCCTCATCAGTACGTACCAAACTCCAGGAAGCTTACCCAGAGTTTTACCTGCTTTTCCAGTGATATCATCAGAAAGAGCATCTGACACCAAATACCCTAAAGTAGCCAAAGAATATATATGGGAGCCTATATGTATGACTGATCTAAAGGAAATTAAACATGCAATTTGTATCTTATGAAACACATTCATTCTTCATTAGGGTAATGGTCAAAATGTGGACTTCAAGCAACAAAGCAATGCCAAATTGGCCTCTTCAAGAGGTAGATGTTCAGTTCCTAGATATTGGAGCCCTATCTCAAGTAAAACAAAGCATGAGATGGGTCTAATGCAGAGGGCCAAAAGGACAGAGAGGAAGGCTAAGGCCATATGTAGCTAATATTACAGTGAATTTGTGGAGTCGTGACCTATTGCAGCAATAGAATACCCAGATTAACATTCCTGCAGCCCCCAAAACTTACGTTTCTGGGGAAGATATTATAGCAAAGGTCACCAGCCATTCAGGCTGTACAAAAACACAAAAAAATTGACAAACCTTCAGAGGTACTAAAGGCCCTGCCTTTAAAATGGTTACCTGAGAAACCAATATGGGTTAAACAGTGGCCTCTAACAGAAGAAAAGCTGCAGGCTTTAGAACAGCTGGTACAAGAGCAACCTTCTCTGGAGATAAGGGCATTCTGCCTATATAGGTGAAAGTGACTTAGAAGCCAGGAATCGGACTAGTTGTCCTAAAACAATGGTTCCCTCTGACAGGAAGCTGGAAGACAAACAGGTAGAAAACAAGGCAGTGGGAAATACAGGCCAGGCTTCCTCTGCATAGAAAAAAGAGTATTTACAGGTAAACATTACTGGGGAAGATAAACTGAGGTCCCCAACAGCCTATCAGACTGAGCAGCTGAAGAATTTGAAAAGACCGGTAACACATTTGAGGGTCCAATCATTTTGTCAGTATTTTCTTTGAGCTCTGGATCCGAAAATGTGCCAGAGGGTATTAAGTGGAATAATTGAACAACCAAAATAAAGTCCATAGAACTGCTTCGCGGAAAGATGGCGCAGTTAATTGAGTCGTGCGGCAAGCCTTCCTCTTTGTCTGCCAATAGTGCTCAGTGACGTTCCATAGGGCAGGCACCCAAGCTGACTTCAAAAGCAACACATAAACAGAAGGATCTCCTACACCAAACAGGAAAGCAGCTAGGATAAGTGGTGTGCTGGCTACATTTGTAGAAATGGATCTTTGGGGGCTGGAGAGATGGTTCAGAAGTTAAGAGCACTGGCTGTTCTTCCAGGGGAGTGGAGTTCAATTCTGAATGCCCACACAGTGGCTAACAACTATCTATAATGAGATTTGGTGCCCTCTTCTGGCATATTATACATAACAAATACATTTAAAAAAAAAAAAAAAAAGAAATGGGTCTTTGAGAGACCCATATTAGAATATTCCCTGCTAAAATGTTAGCCTTAGACTTATTTCAAAATCACCCAGGCCTGGTGGGACAGCAAGAAGCATGACGGGGCAGTCACAGCAAAGGTCCTGGGAGTGTATATATATAGCTTTATTTGTTTATTTAACTCATTTTTAGTTTATGTGATGTTTGTAAGCGCAGTATATGCATGCAGTGTCTGAGAAGGTCAGAACAGGGCATCAGATCCTCTGGTCCTGGGGCTTCTGAAAAGACAGTTGTGGGCCTCCTTGTGGGAGCTAGAAATTGAACTCAGGTCATCTGGAAGAGCAGAAAGTGCTTTTAACTGCTGAACCCTCCCTCCGACCCAGACACTTAAATTACATGTATGTGGCTGCATCTGTGTGCTGGGTACATGCATGTTAGTTCAAGTAGCCACAGAAGCCAGAAGCGGGCATTTGATCCTCTGGAGCTGAAGTCACAGGCAGTTGTCAGCCACCTAATATGGGTGCTGGGGACTGAATTAAGGTCTTCCAGACGGGTGATACACACTCTTAGATGCTGAGCCATGTTCCCTGCCCCTTGAGATTTTTATACTATAACTCAGTTGCCTGGTGGGATTGTTAGCTAAAAACAGAAGCCATGATGGGCTGAATGGACAGATATACAATGGTGGGGATGAGGAAGAGATCCTCAGTTCAGACCTCCCTTCTGGAAGGCTGCGCTCCGTGATCTGAGATGGCCTTTGAGAGACAGGAGAAGAGGTCCAGACTAGCCTTAGTGAAGGGACTCCACATTTTGCTTCAGCTGAAGCCAGGGGCTCAGCCTGGAGAGAGTTAGTTAGAAAAGGCAGGGAGGGCTCTTCTTACTCGAGGGTGGGCTGTTTTGGGAAGATGAGCCTGTTCTGGTGGGAGTCTGCATAGACACCGTCTCTGTATGCTCTGCTAGGGGCCTCCAGCCAGGTTACTTGAGCTTGCTGAGATCCTTTACCCAGTGAAGGCTGTGCTTGTGGGTGTCTTGAGCAGCAAGCATCTGCTTCTCTCTACTGGCCTCAGGCACTGTTCTCCAGAGCTGTGATGAGGTCTAACTTGGCTTCAGAATCCCTCAGGGGAAGAGGTTGGGGTGAGGTCGCTCCCCTCCGCCCTAATCTCTCACATCTGGATGGAGCTGTGATCTGAGCTCATCCAGACCTCCTGGAGACTAGTCTGACAGAAAGCTTGGAGCACAACCCTAAAAACTGTCCTGCACAAAGAGCTCCCTCCCTGAAGAGAGCCTCAATATAGCTCTGCTTGGAGACACCATGAAGATCCTTCTCAGCCTACACCCTCAGCCATTAACTTTCTGGCTTCTGTAGTCTCCTCTACCATGCTGGCTGGGGTTGGATTGAGGCTCTGTGTCCCAGAAATAGGCTGGAGCTTGTCAATATTTCAGAATTTGCCTGAGGCCTCAGAGGACCAAGTTAGGTTGAGTAAGCAGGGGGAGGGGAGTCTTCTTTGGTGAAAAAAAACTTAGGCAAGTGTAACGGCGTAAATGAATGCAGACAGAGTGTAAAAATATATATATAGCTTTAATGTAGAAATAGACTTACAGAACCACCGTTCCCGCGGAGACCAGGAAAGCAGAAGCGAGAAGCTCGGAGCTTGCTCGCCAAATTTATAGGCAGACATTAGCCCGAGGCGAACACGCCCCTTAAGGGGCGGGACTTATCCCTACATCTCCCCTTTTTGTCTAAATAAGACAGAACTAAACCAAATACAACTACATACAATAACAACAAATAATAAATACAACAAACAATATTGAGAACAAAAGCTTTGC